CATACATAACATACATACATAACATACATACATAACATACATACATAACATACATACATAACATACATACATACATACATACATACATACATAACATACATACATAACATACATACATACAGTTCTATATAGCTTTTGATTATTTCCGTCTTTTCAACCAGCGCGTCTCATGACCGCACGAGCTGTTTATTTTGTTACAGAACAAAGATCTAGACACTGTTCAGGCCTCGTTGCCCCACCAGGAAAGAGAGTGCCCACAACTTATCAATATAAAATCTGCATTATAATTAGAATTGTTCTAATTTTTGCACCCCTTTTAAGTGCAATCATGCTGTCGGTGTATGTATTGCCTTCTTGACAAACAATTTTGCGAGACCAGGCTGCACATTCTTCTATTCTGCGTATGTGGGATGGTATGTTTGTGTTATAAGCACAATTACAAACCCAACTGTTGTGCTAATTTTAGGCCAATATTTTTTTTTTCAGATTAAACGTAAAAGGCCCTAAATGTTTTTCCTGAAGTCTCACCTGACTCCAGCTATTCGTTACATTCCCAATAGCAAATCTGTTTTGATATGGTGTTTTCCATGAACAAACAAAGAATCACACAGGAATTGATCGCTAGGCTGCTCGTCTTTTCCTCACCACCTCCACCTTTTCCTCTCTTAGAGTGCTGTGGTTGTTACAAATTGCCTCTTGACAAAACAGGTGCAATACTGTCAAGTCAAAACATTAAAAAATATTTGATAGATGGAAATAGAAACAGCAGGTCAAAGTGACAGAAGAAGAACGTTCCAAACCTACATGTACATGTATTAACTTTTTGTACACTTTGGAGTGATAAGTAATTTTAAAAAATTAGTTCTCTGTCTATGAGTTTGTTTTTACTTCACAGGTGCATTTAAATTCTCACAACTGTTAAAAGAGTAAGACAAGAGTAACTCTGCTCTGTGGCCTATGTTACTATTTTTCTCTTTTAAGTTTTAGTCCGAGTTAATTTGAAGTTTAGTCGGTCTTGCCTCCCACTATTACGTGCTACTACAGGAGGCGGGGGCTCTCGTGGTCTAGAGCTTACAGTGTTAGCCTCTCATTCAATAGGTACACACACACATGCACA